ATCTACTTTTATCTCTAACTATCTATCATCTATCTATCTATCTATCTATCATCTATCTATCCACCCACCCATCTACTTTTATATCTATCTATCTATCTATCTATCCATCTATCATCTATCTATCTATCTATCTATCTATCTATCTATCCATCATCTATCTATCTATCCACCCACCCATCTACTTTTATATCTATCTATCTATCTATCTATCTATCTATCTATCTATCTATCTATCTATCTATCTATCTATCATCCATCATCTATCTATCTATCTATCTATCATCTATCTATCTATCTATCTATCTATCTATCTATCTATCTATCTATCTATCTATCTATCTATCTATCTATCTATCTATCTATCTATCTATCTTCTATCTATCTTTCTATCTATCTATCTATCTATCTCTATCTATCTATCTATCTATCTATCTATCTATCTATCTATCTATGTATCTATCTATCATCTGCCTGTCTATCTATGTATCTGTCTATCTGCTATCTATCATCTATCTTTCTATCTATCTATCTTCTATCATCTATCTATCTATCATCTGTCTGTCTATCTATCTACTATCTATCATCTATCTATCTATCTATCTATCTATCTATCTGTCTATCTATCTATCTATCCATCGAGCGATTATCTATCTATCCATCTATCATCTATCTATCCATCTATCATCTATCTATCTATCTATCTATCCACCCACCTATCTACTTTTATCTCTATCTATCTATCTATCGAGCGATCATCCATCTATCTATCTATCTGTCTATCTATCTATCTATCTATCTATCTATCTATCTATCTATCTATCTATCATCTATCCATCTATCATCTATCTATCATCTATCCATTATCTATCTATCTATCTATCTATCTATCTATCTATCTATCTATATCCATCTATCTATCTATCTATCTATCTATCTATCTATCTATCTATCCATCCATCCATCCATCATCTATCTATCTATCCATCCATCCATCCATCCATCCATCCATCCATCTATCTCTATCTATCTATCTATCTATCTATCTATCTATCTATCTATCTATCTTGTGAATCAAGGTGGCCAGTTGAAACTTTCACGCTTAGCTTCCAACAGACAAGTGTTCTTTCTCCCACTCTGGACATCCCACTGATATATAAACCCCATTTTCCTAGTTTCTAACAGACCTCACAACCTGAGGATACCTGCCATAGATGCAGGCGAAACGTCAGGAGAGAATGCTTCTAGAGCATGGCCATACAGCCCGAAAAACCTACAACAGCCCAGTGATTCCGGCCATGAAAGCCTTTGTCAATACAACAAACAGGAGACTTTGTGAAACCGGTTTTTCTGAGGCGAATATGTGGAGCTGCCCTTTTTTTGGGAGATTTCTGCTACAAATTTCCGCATCCGTTCTTCCCGAAGTCGCTCTCCATCTGCTTTTTCACGGTCCGATGGAGCTTTCCAATGCGTCCTTTTGCACAGATGATCATCTTATCTGTGCCTACTGTTTCTCTAAACGAGTTAGCATTGGTTTCTGTGTCACTGGATTATTATTGATCTCCCCGCTGCTTGCAAGGGAGGCAAAATAAATAAATGGTTGCTGCATGGTTTGCTTTGCATTCATGAGCAGCGGGAGGAAGATGATGCGGCCTCCGTTCTTGCGTCCACTCCAGTGAGGTCCAGCTCCGGAGGATGGAGAGGTTGGTTCAGTCCATATTATTGATGGGATTCACACTAATTCACACGATTTGGACTTATTCGTGGATCAATATCACAGTTAGGTTCTGTACTTCAGACTCCGCTTTCTTGGAGGAAGGCTTGCCTACTCAGAACTGGACATAGAGAAAAGTTCAATAGACATTTTAGGGAGAAATGCATGTTTTGCACATTGGGCGGGGGGGGGGGGGCAATACCAGCTAGCTTGTAGAGTTTAAGACATCCTGTGATTATTCCACTGTTCACCTGCTTTGCATGGGCAGACTTACGCCAAACTGGGCAGGCACACTCGGCAGTTGAGTCAGACAAGGCCAGGGCTGATGTTCTTACTAATTGTGGGTCTGTACCCTATGCACTACCATTACGTTTATCAACAGGTGTAGGGTTAAGACATCCTGTGATTATTCCGCATGTTTCGTTCAATGCTATGTTCACCTGCTTTGCATGGGCAGACGTATGCCAATCAGGGCAGGCATCCTTGGCGGTTGAGTAAGACAAGGCCAGGGCTGATGTTCTTACTAATTGTGGGTCTGTACCCTATGCACTACCATTACGTTTATCAACAGGTGTAGGGTTAAGACATCCTGTGATTATTCCGCATGTTTCGTTCAATGCTATGTTCACCTGCTTTGCATGGGCAGACATATGCCAATCAGGGCAGGCATCCTTGGCGGTTGAGTAAGACAAGGCCAGGGCTGATGTTCTTACTAATTGTGGGTCTGTACCCTATGCACTACCATTACGTTTATCAACAGGTATAGGTTTAAGACATCCTGTGATTATTCCGCATGTTTCGTTCAATGCTATGTTCACCTGCTTTGCATGGGCAGACATATGCCAATCAGGGCAGGCATCCTTGGCGGTTGAGTAAGACAAGGCCAGGGCTGATGTTCTTACTAATTGTGGGTCTGTACCCTATGCACTACCATTACGTTTATCAACAGGTGTAGGTTTAAGACATCCTGTGATTATTCCGCATGTTTCGTTCAATGCTATGTTCATCTGCTTTGCATGGGCAGACATATGCCAATCAGGGCAGGCATCCTTGGCGGTTGAGTAAGACAAGGCCAGGGCTGATGTTCTTACTAATTGTGGGTCTGTACCCTATGCACTACCATTACGTTTATCAACAGGTGTAGGTTTAAGACATCCTGTGATTATTCTGCAGGGAATGCATGATTTAGTTTATGCCGTGTAAAACAAAAGAAACAATTAAGAATGTCCTTATGCAAATCTACTGATAGCATTGTGGTTTTGCATTTCCAACCAGCCTCCAAGGATAATAGAATCACAGAATCATATAGAATCATAAAGTTGGAGGAGACCCCAACGGTCATCCAGTCCAACCCCCAGGAATCAAAGGGAGTGTAGCAATGGATGAGTCATTTATATATTTCGTATCAAAAGCATTGCATACATTAGTATAAAATGGATAGATAGACAGACATTTTCCGTTCTTGAGTTCGGAGGAGAGCAACTGCTTTGGGACAATGTGGCCGGTCCAGCAGAGTTGATGGTGGAGAACCGTCACTTCAATGCTGGTGGTCTTTGCTTCTTCCAGCATGCTGACATTTGTCTGCTTGCCTTCCCAAGAGATTTGCAGGATTTTCCGGAGGCAGCGCTGATGGAATCGTTCCAGGAGTTGCATGTGACGTCTGTAGACAGTCCACGTCTCGCAGGCGTAGAGCAGGGTTGGGAGGGGAATAGCTTTATAAACAAGCACCTTGGTCTCCCTACGGATGTCCCGGTCCTCAAACACTCTCTGCTTCATTTGGAAAAATGCTGTACTCGCAGAGCTCAGGCGGTGTTGTATTTCAGTGTCAATGTTGAGTCACTGTGGACTCTATCAATGATGGATGTGGACCAAACTTGGCATGAATATTCAATATGCCCAAATGTGAATACTGATGGAGTCTGGGGAAAATAGACCTTGACATTTGGGAATTGTAGTTGCTGGGATTTATAGTTCACCTACAATCAAAGAACCCTACCAATGATAGAATTGGGCCAAACCTCCAACCCAGACCCCCCATGCCTTGAAGCACTCGCGGGCGCAAGCCTCCCTCCAGCGTCACACGCTCTCCCTCGCCCACACATGTGCACCACACTGCTATGCGCTGAGCACGCCTGCCCTCCCCTTCACGCTTGGAGTCTCAGAAACAGCCCTCCCCTTGGCTGAGAGGCCGGCCAATCAGAGTGCAGGAGGGCTTTTGGTTGGAGGATTTGCTATATGTTTCCAAAAAAGGAAGAGAAGGACAGGCATAAAGGGGTTCCTAAGACCATCAGAAATATATGTTTTCTGAATGTGTTTGGTGACCCCTCTGAAACCCTCTCATGACCCCCTCAGGGGTCGCGACCCCCCCAGTTGAGAAACCCTGTGCTATCAAACACTTGGGGGGTTTTGGGACTGAAGGACCTATAGTAAACCCCATCCATGCATCATCTGGGCCACAGAGTTGTGCCTCTGTTTGTAGTCCGTCTGTGCGATTTTCTTGCAGCAGATGAGGAGATGGTCCATGGTTTCATCCGCTTCCTTGCACAGTCTGCATTTGGGGTCATCCCTCACCCACACATGCGTACCACGCTGCTATGCGCCGAACACGCTTAGAGTCTCAGAAACAGCCCTCCCCTTGGCTGTCAATCAGAGTGCAGAAGGGCTTTTGGTGGGAGGACTTGCCTTCTGTTTCCAAAAAGGAAGAGAAGGACAGGCGGAAAGATTTTCAGCCTTCTCTGCAAAAGGGGTTCCCAAGACCATCAGAAATATATGTTTTCTGAATGTGTTTGGCGACCCCTCTGAAACCCTCTCGCGACCCCTCCAGGGGCCGCGACCCCCAGGTTGAGAAACTCTGAAGCTTTTAAACAGAGGTTGGATGGCCATCTGTCGGGGGTGATTTGAATGCAATATTCCTGCTTCTTGGCAGAATGGGGTTGGACTGGATGGCCCAGGAGGTCTCTTCTAACTCTTTGATTCTATGATTCTATGATTCTATGATTCTAGATGCACCCTCTGCTATCAAACACTTGGGGGATTTTGGGAATGTAGTAAACTTGTAGTAAACCCCATCCATGCATTTGGCTGGACTCACCATGGGAAATGGTAAATGGGAATCTAGTGTTTACATTGGAAAGCCTGATTCTATCAGAACTGACCTTGATTGGTAGGAATGAGCCTCTCACGGGGTGAATGGGAAGGGGAGGGAGAGGGCGCCCATCGCTTGAAAGGATGCAACTAAGGGAAGGATGGCCGTGTTGAATGGGCGCTTTGCTTGTGTCTCCGTCTCCAGATGAGCGACGTCACCAAGGACCATTGCCTGGAGATTATCAATCAGTTTGAACCCTGTCCAGAAAACCGGCAACAAGGCGCTCTCGGGATTGATGGTAAGATTTGCATTGCTTTTCTCGGCAGATTGCCTGGATGCCTGGCGACGGGAGATGCTTCCATTGATTGATATTCGCTTCTACCCAGAATTGGCACCATTTTCCTGCCAAATTTATCATTTTTGTCAGTCCCTTAGCAACTTTTCTCTAAGCCAACAAACACCCAGATGCTTCTAGATCCAGTCACATGAGAAGTAGTGCATCAAAGCCACAACAGTTAGAAAATCTGGGTTGCTGTGAGTTCTTTGGGATGTATGGCTATGTTCCAGAAGCACTCTCTCCTGACCTTTCACCCACATCTATGGCAGGCATCCTCGGAGGTTGTGAGGTCAGGGTGGGAGAAAAAAGACTTGTCTGTTTGAGGCAAGCACGAATGTTCCAGCTAACACCTCCCATGATTCTGGGAATTGTAGTTCACCCACATCCTTATGCATTTTTGAATGGGGGCGTTAATAAAAAAAAATCAAATCAAGAACTGGCATTTTTCTAATAAATAGTGTTACTAATTGACTAAATGATACTACCTAACACCCGAAACAAACAATGCCTTTTTCAAATAACCCGGGCACCGCCAGGTACTCAAACTAGTAAATATCTATATTTTATTTATTTATGTTATTTATTTATTGACAGCTTTTCTATTCCGCCCTTCTCCTCACACTGCAGGGGACTCAGGGCGGATTACAGTGTACACATATATGAAAATTTTGACATACAAACATATACAGATATACACAGAGGCTATTTAACCTTTTTCTGGCCGCCAGGGGAGCTGTCGCTTTCCTCGTCCATCTGCGATGCTGATGAAGCACTTCCGCATTCCCCGCATGCTTCCCCGCTGGAATGCTTTGCTGGAGTCTTCTTTATGGCCTCATAAATCATTGACATATGAACATATACAGACATACACAGAGGCTATTTAACCTTTTTCTGGCCGCCAGGGGAGCTGTCGCTTTCCTCGTCCATCTGCGATGCTGATGAAGCACTTCCGCATTCCCCGCATGCTTCCCCGCTGGAATGCTTTGCTGGAGTCTTCTTTATGGCCTCATAAATCATTGACATATGAACATATACAGACATACACAGAGGCTATTTAACCTTTTTCTGGCCGCCAGGGGAGCTGTCGCTTTCCTCGTCCATCTGCGATGCTGATGAAGCACTTCCGCATTCCCCGCATGCTTCCCCGCTGGAATGCTTTGCTGGAGTCTTCTTTATGGCCTCATAAATCATTGACATATGAACATATACAGACATACACAGAGGCTATTTAACCTTTTTCTGGCCGCCAGGGGAGCTGTCGCTTTCCTCGTCCATCTGCGACGCTGATGAAGCACTTCCGCATTCCCCGCATGCTTCCCCGCTGGAATGCTTTGCTGGAGTCTTCTTTATGGCCTCATAAATTAATTAATTTAGCCTCCCCACACTTTAAGGTGGTACCTAATTTTCCTACTTGACAGATGCAACTGTCTTTCGGGTTGCAAAGGTCGACAACGGGCTACACAATTGGTTGGAAACCCACTCCAACCCGGGCTGGCTTCGAACTCATGACCTTTTGGTCAGAGTGATCTTCATGCAGCTGACACTCAGCCAGCTGCAGCACAATCCCAGTGCAAAATTTGCCATTTTTTTGGAATCAGCAGGCCAAATCCATCCAAAGTTTGCATGCATTCCAAATATGCACAGAAAGAGGGTGAACATTTGAGGTCCCAAAATGTGCGTTGGTCAGTGTTATTTATTCTGTTCATTATTTCCAAGCCGATGGGCGAAATGGCGACATTAATTAAACGAGGCAGTGTTGGTTTCTCTTTCTCTCTGGCAGAGGAAGCAGAGTTCGATTGCAAAGTGTTAGCTCTCGGCAGCAATTCCTTGCTAACATGGGCGCCATTGGCGTTTCTCCTGCCGTGGAGCATCCAACACTTGGCTCCATCCCTGAGCTGGTTTTTCGCAATACGGTCAACGCCTGTTATAGAAAAGGCAAAGAATATCTTCCTGACACCATGACATTTCAAGTCGCTCTCTTGGTTGCCAGATGAACTAAGATAGAATCCTAGAATCCTAGAATCCTCGAGTTGGGAGAGACCTCGTTGGCCATCATCCAGTCCAACCCCATTCTGCCAAGAAGCAGGAATATTGCACTCAAATCACCCCTGACAGATGGCCATCCAGCCTCTGCTTCAAAGCCTCCAAAGAAGGAGCCTCCACCACATTCCAGGGAAGGCAGAGAGTTCCACTTCTGAACGGTTCTCACAAGTTCTTCCTCATGTTCAGATGGAATCTCCTCTCTTGTAGTTTGAAGCCATTGTTCCATTGCGTCCTAGTCTCCAAGGAAGCAGAAAACAAGCTTGCTCCCTCCTCCCTGTGGCTTCCTCTCACATATTTATACATGGCTATCACTGTCTCCTCTCAGCCTTCTCTTCTTCAGGCTAAACATGCCCAGCTCCTTAAGCCGCTCCTCATAGGGCTTGTTCTCCAGACCCCTGATTCTCCCTCCTCCCTGTGGCTTCCTCTCACATATTTATACATGGCTATCATATCTCCTCTCAGCCTTCTCTTCTTCAGGCTAAACATGCCCAGCTCCTTAAGCCGCTCCTCATAGGGCTTGTTCTCCAGACCCTTGATCTGCTCCCTCCTCCCTGTGGCTTCCTCTCACATATTTATCCATGGCCCTCATCATGTCTCCTCTCAGCCTTCTCTTCTTTAGGCTAAACATGCCCAGCTCCTTAAGCTGCTCCTCATAGGGCTTGTTCTCCAGACCCCTGATCTGCTCCCTCCTCCCTGTGGCTTCCTCTCACGTATATATACATGGCCCTCATCATGTCTCCTCTCAGCCTTCTCTTCTTCAGGCTAAACTTGCCCAGCTCCTTAAGCCACTCCTCATAGGGCTTGTTCTCCAGACCCTTGATCTGCTCCCTCCTCCCTGTGGCTTCCTCTCACATATTTATACATGGCCCTCATCATGTCTCCTCTCAGCCTTCTCTTCTTCAGGCTAAACATGCCCAGCTCTTTAAGCCACTCCTCATAGGGCTTGTTCTCCAGACCCTTGATCCTCCTCCCTGTGGCTTCCTCTCACATATTTATACATGGCTATCATCATATCTCCTCTCAGCCTTCTCTTCTTCAGGCTAAACATGCCCAGCTCCTTAAGCCGCTCCTCATAGGGCTTGTTCTTCAGACCTCTGATCTGCTCCCTCCTCCCTGTGGCTTCCTCTCACATATTTATACATGGCCCTCATCATATCTCCTCTCAGCCTTCTCTTCTTCAGGCTAAACATGCCCAGCTCCTTAAGCCGCTCCTCATAGGGCTTGTTCTCCAAACCCTTGATCTGCTCCCTCCTCCCTGTGGCTTCCTCTCACATATTTATACATGGCCCTCATCATATCTCCTCTCAGCCTTCTCTTCTTCAGGCTAAACTTGCCCAGCTCCTTAAGCCGCTCCTCATAGGGCTTGTTTTCCCTATAGCTACAGTATGTTGGAATCAAAGAGTGATATGGTTGGGAGAGACCCCCAGGGCCATCAAGTCCAGCCCCTGTCTAGCACACACAGAATCAAAGCCCTTGATTCTGGGGCATCTAATCACCTCTCAACAAAAGACTGCCCCAGGCACAGCCAGGCCATCAAATGCTAATCAAGGTGGTCAATTGAAACATTCACACCTAGCTCCAGCAGACAAGAGTCCTTTGTCCCACCCTGGTTCATTCCACAGATATATAAACCTTTTTTCCTAGTTCCAACAGACCTCACTACCTCTGAGGATGCTTGCCATAGATGCAGGCGAAACGTCAGGAGAGAATACCTCTTAGATCAATGATGGGCAATCTTTTGAGCTTGGTGTGCCAATACTTGCCAAAAAAAAGAGCATAACTCGGGTGGAGTGTCACGTCGAGAAAAAACCATAATTTCATGATATTTATAGTTTAATAACAAAAATATATTATTGTAATATATAATATGTAATATTAAATACGGTAATAACTGTATTTAATAAACCAAAACCTAATTATTTAACTTACCTGCTTTTTCTATAATGCCATATATCTCGGCATTATAGAAAAATGCTGGTGCAGGAGCCGAGGAGGAAATGTCCTTCTTGGGATGCGGCCCCATTCTTCTGTGTATGCGGCCATGTGTCATCGAAAATGGCTACGCGTGTCAGTGCTGACACACGTGTCGTAGGTTCGCCATCATGGGTCTAGGAGGACACCCAAGACAACTACACAAATGCTAATCAAACATTCACACCTAGCTCCAGCAGACAAGAGTCCTTTGTCTCACCCTGGTCAATCCACAGATATATAAACCCATTTTCCTAGTTCCAACAGACCTCACTACCTCTGAGGATGCTTGCCATAGATGCAGGCGAAACATCAGGAGAGAATGCCTCTAGAACATAGCCATATAGCCCGAAAAAACCTACAACAACCCAATATTTAGGCATTTTCACCTCTCAACAAAAGATTGCCCAAAATACTTCCCAGCCATTAAATGCTAATCAAGGTGGTCAGTTGAAACATTCACACCAGCTCCAGCAGACAAGAGTCCTTTGTCCCACCCTGGTCATTCCACAGATATATAAACCCATTTTTCCTAGTTCCAACAGACCTCACAACCTCTGAGGATGCTTGCCATAGATGCAGGCGAAAGGTCAGGAGAGAATGCCTCTAGAACATGGCCATATAGCCCGAAAAAACCTACAACAACCCAAAGATCCTAGCTTGTGATACATTCACAAAGAAGCTAGAATAACAAATATAGAAATTTTCCCCCCCCCCCCCAATCAATCATTGATATATATTTTCTGTTTGTCGTGGGAGTTCTGTGTGCCATATTTGGTTCAATTCCCTCATTGGTGGAGTTCAGAATGCTCTTGGATTGTAGGTGAACTATACATCCCAGTAACTACATCTCGCATATGTCAAGGTCTATTTTCCCCCAAGAGCACCTCAAGAGCGCCCCGGGCAACATCAACTCTACCGCGACTGCTTACTTTGCGTAATGGGTG